TATCTATCTATCTATCTATCTATCTATCTATCTATCTATCTATCTATCTATCTATCGAGTGCAAGCGGCTATTCCTGGCCACGTTTTCCGTGATGTGATCGCCATGAAGCCACCCGGCAGCTGGATCTTTGGGGGTCCGGGCCCCCGTCGTGCATCCTCCTGCTGACCTTGACTTTGCTACAAGCTGCTTGTTCACCGCCCAGTCCCAATTCCGGGTCCACTCTGCATCTTGGCCTTGTTGGTATGGTTTTTGAAAAAAGGAGTGGGAAAGAGCAGGGTTGGCAAACGGCCCAGCGTTTGCCTGAAAGGGGTAGGGATACCCTTAGGGGAAGTGAAGCACCCCCTGAACAACTGGGCGAAGGGCATAATGAATCCCACGGGATAAGTGTCGCAAAGAAGAGAAGCTTCCAAAGGGCTCAGAGGTGCCAGGCTATGGATGGCATGCAAGACGCTTCCTGTGCTGAGCTCAACCATAACTCCATTGCCTGGACCTGCACGAATGACCAAACCATCCAGATCCAGTATGTCCATTGTGAGCCGGAACATGATGAGCTTGACTTTTCCTGGACTCATCGAAGTTCTTCAATGAGCCGAGCTCCAATGCATGGATGCACTGCTTCGTCAGAACTTACAAGTGAATGCCCTCGCGCAAGCAGATGTAGAAGATCAGTCACCTTTTCTGCGTGGCGTAGAGGGAATCACGCAAGTTGAGGAAGGTCCTGGCAGGACCTCTTTGGAATCAGAGGAGCAAGCTCTATGTGATGAAGTGGTGCTGATGCAACGTCCTGCGGGTGCAAGAGGAGCTGGATATGATGTTTCGGATCCGGCTGGGAGCTCGACAAGCAGAGGACAGTCTGCTGCTGTGTCGGGTTTCAGTGGTGAGACTCGGAACACTGACTCTGACTGGGTCACAACTTGGAGACAGGTTCGACAATATCTCTGCGAATATGACAGAGCAGGTGCACCTGGCCATACACAGATATTGGTACATTTGCTGGCTCTGAGAAGAGGAGCAACTGTCGCAAGCGGATTTTGTTGCCCTAGTTGGGTGTTGGCTGATCAAGCTGCAATCTATCATATTTCGGACTGGTGTGAAGAATACTCCTTCCAATTTGACCACAGAGCGTTTCCAGTCACGCATGAATTGTACCAGAATATGCCGGCCATCGTGGTGGTGCAGCATCTGGGAAATTCAGTCTTGCCTTTGGTCGTGCAAGTTGTCATTGAGGTGCACCAGGTCCATGTGGTGATGCGAGCGCGAAGTCATTGACTGGGTGCGCGCACAGACTCAGGTCAGATTGCCTTTCGAGATCTACTACCAAGCAACACGTGTGGATTATTGGCAACAGACCGAAGTTCGAGCGGGCGCGGTTCTGCAGGTACGAAGCCGTACGCAACCAGCAGTCCACTGGTGAGACTGGCCCCTCGTTGGACCAGTATAGCCACACAACCTGGTCATCCTTGCCATCGGAGCCGCGGCCCATTGCTGCATACGCTTCCGCCTGGGGTCCACAATGCATGAACTGAGCCTGCTCAGACGCACAAATGGGGCCTGTTGATTCGCCATGTTCTCCTAGTCTCTCTTCCATGGAGCTGACTAGACGGTGAACTGCAGGTTCTCTTCACACGAACCTGGTGTGGTTCTTTTCCATGTGAGCCCTCTCCGAATGGAGATTGAGCACCTTGGAATGGCTGCGCCACGAACTGGCAGCTTGTGATTAGCTGTTCAGTCACCATGAACTTTTTCTCTGCTCTCGCCAAAGTGGCTTTTGGGGCAGAATGTATTTTTTTACTGTTTGATTGTTGAACTTCGGCATGACCAGTACCCTACGGCAGCGCACCACGGTGCATTGATTGACTTCAAGTCAACCGGAGACACCTGTTCTCTGTGCCCCGCATTCGACGGACCTCCGACGAGCGCCTCAAACTCAAAAACTCAAAACTATCTATCTATCTATCTGTCTATCTATCTATCTAACCATCCATCCATCCATCCATCCATCCATCTATCTATCTAATCTATCTATCTATCTATCTATCTACGACATCTGCACTTCAAGGTCCACAAGGTACTGTGCCGGCCACGAAATCTGCACTCCAAGGCCCACAAAGTCCTGCACCCGCCACGAAATCTGCACTTCAACATCCACAAAGTCCTGCACCTGCCACGAAATCTGCACTTCAAGGTCCGCAAAGTACTGCGCCTGCCACGAAACACGAAAAGCAACAATAACTCCCAAACAAAAACAAGAAAACATACTAAATTAAATCCGAGCCCTCTTACAATCGATCAAGAACGCCGTGCAATGAGAGCAAGGTTGGCCCACTGCGTTTCAATTCTCCCCAAGCAGATTGCCCAACCTGACTGTCTTGATGCTGGCATCATCAAACCCAAGGCCTTCACTACATGGTTCTCCAACCACAGGCAACGGGGGAAGCCGAAGCGCATTTCATGTGCTTTGATTTACATGCAGATTCGATCGGTGACTCTGGACGGATGTCGGCTCAGAAATATGCGGAGCCGCCGTGGAGCACCAGAGAAATGCAACGAAGCAATTCTCTCCATGGTACATGCGTTGTGTCGTTCTGCTATGCTTTGTAGGATCAACATGAATCAACAAACAAATCCAATATGTCCGCAGCTCATTCGCTCATTTGTCGCAGACTCGCGCATTTTGCAGCACTCGCTTCATTTCGAGGCGTGAGATCATGAAGAGGGCCAATCGCGCCGAAGAGGATGCCAGCGCCGCACGGATCTCAAAACATCCCCGGGCCAATCGGCCGGTGATGCGGTTGGTGACAAGTCGCTGTAGAGCGGCACAGAGGTAGAACACGAAAACGACGGCAAGCACTAGTCACCACAATATGATTCTAAGACGACTCATTGTATCATTGTATCGGTGGATGAAAGAGGATGAACGTGGATGGAAGATAGGTGATTGCCATCCGAGAACAAGGTGGCCTTTTAACCAGAGTTGTTCCAGACCTTCAGGATCTTCTTCTAGTTACGCTGTTTCTGTGTTTCCACCCGCCCTTTGGCCGTTTTCCGCCCTTTGGCTGCACTGGCGTTCAGTTGCGATGCTCGAGGTCTTCTACGATTCTCTTGCGAACTGCGAGATCGTAAAATACTTCCAGGGCGAGGTCAGGGTGATTCTGCAGGCTTTTGCCTCACTAATTCATATACATTTGATCGCCCAGTCCATGTTCTATGCTATTGATGCAGTTTATACTATGGTGTTTTTCTTTGTTGTGAGGACATTGTTCTTGGAAAAAATAGTTCCCAACTGCAAGCCTAATCGCTTGCAAGCTTCTTGCCCACGTCATCTACAGAGCTACCTTGCCAATTCCCATTGCTACGCGGCTGCACGGACCAAGGCAAAACGGCAGTGGTGAAGAAATTGGCATTGCTTCTAGTAGCAAGTAGCAATGCCCTTGTTTCTAGTAGTAATGCCCTTAGCTACTAGTAGCTTCTAACTAGTAATGCCCTTGTTACTAGTAACGAGACATGGGTTTGATGTTTCGGACTCGGCTTTCCCGTGGCTCGGGCCTCACACGGCCACGTGGGTCACGCCGGTCACGGCGGTCACGAGGCACACGAGATCCGGAGATACGACACCGCTTTGGCTCGCTACGAAGCGGAGCAGGCGAGCGGTGACATGGTGTTGGTAGCGTTTGGTGGTGGTGCGAGGCCCTACTTTCAAGTAAGAGCCCTTTGAAAGCCATACAGTTCAAGATGGTTGCGAGGACCATGGGACACCTATGATACACCTACTATGGCAGGTCCTGTAGGACCTCACTGTTTGTGGTTGGTCTTAGTCGGACCCGGCGTCCCGTGGTCCGTCAATCGTTTCAACTCCGAGAATCCCTCAAGGGAGAACGAGGCGACGACTTGGTCCCGGGAGAACGCAGTCGGTTGCGACAAGACATCGCGCTAAATTAGAAAGTTCTGAACACAGATAAGAACAGTCATGAATATCTACAATCGTCATAATGGTCTCTTGGAGGGAAAAGATGACTTAGGCGTGATGCGCCAGACAACCAAACCAGGGCACAACGACCAGCGTAGCACTTGGCCGCATTTGTAATTGAATTGGTCTTGGATCTCCTGTGGAAGCCAGGTGTCAGTCCTGCATTCATTGGCAAAGTCTGGACCTAAGCGATGCTGTCTAAGATTGCTACGCTTGTCCTATCCTTTCCAGTTTTGACCATGCCCATCGTAATAATTGAAAGTTTCAATCATGTTTGATAAATTACACCACCGTAGACCCCAAACAGTTTGCGCTTTTCAAATCGAAACTAGAGCTTGCGACGTCCAGAGCTGGGAGACAAGGGATTGCATACAGAGCGGGCGGACACATCTTAAGAAAGAATTGAGAAGCCCCAACAGCAAACCTTTTGGGGAATTATTCTTCAAGCGCGAACATGCTGCTGGTCATGCTGCTCAATCAGCGCAGAGCTGACCACGTGAGGGCAAGAAAGGAAAGCATGAGGAGCGAAGGATGTGACATGAAATTGGTTTTTGGCGCCTGACGTATGCCCTCTGTCCCAACTGAACAGAGAGATCGCTGCCACGCCGCCGAAATCCAATCCGGTCATTCATCCAACGCTTGCCCGAAAAGGAAAACAAAGCTGAGAGAGTTACACAGTGTGGCAGGAATGCAATCCCGGAGACAGTCACGCACCCCTTTCAAAGTAGCAAGAACCTTTCACAGGTGAACCTGTTCCAGCGGACAGGGCAGAAAACACCAGGCAGCAAAAAGAAAGAAATCACATGGGAGACAAACGAATAGAAATGCTACATGGCCAGCGGAAAAGGGCGGACACCAGCAGTGACAGATGTGGCAGACAAATGAATAGAAACGCTACATGGCCAGCAGAAAAGCCAGCGGAAAAGGGCGGACACCAGCAGTGACAAACCTGGGAAACAAATGAATAGAAATGTTGCATCGCCAGCGGAAAAGGGCGGACACCGCAAGTGACAGACCTGGGAGACAAATGATGAATAGAAATGATGCATGGCCAACGGAAAAGGGCGGACACCAGCAGTAACGGACCTGGGAGACAAATGAATAGAAATGCTTCATGGCCAATAGACAAAGACACACCAGTGACAGACCTGGGAGACAAATGAATAGAAATGCTACATGGCCAGCGGACAAGGGCGGAGACGACCAGTGACAGGCCTGGGAGACGCATGAATAGAAATGCTGCATGGCCAACGGACAAGGGCGGACACCAGCAGTGACAGACCTGGGAGATGAATAGACATGCTGCATGGTCAGCGGAAAAGGGCGGACACTGGCAGTGACAAACCTGGGAAACAAATGAATAGAAATGTTGCATCGCCGGAAAAGGGCGGACACCGCAAGTGACAGACCTGGGAGACAAATGATGAATAGAAATGTTGCATTGCCCGCGGAAAAGGGCGGACCAGCAGTGACAGACCTGGGAGACAAATGAATAGAAATGTTGCATGGCCAACGGAAAAGGGCGGACACCACCAATGACAGACCTGGGAGACAAATGAATAGAAATGCTACATGGCCAGCGGAAAAGGGCGGCCACCAGCAGTGACAGACCTGAACAGAATTCCTGCACAGCGGACACCACCAGTGACAGACCTGGGAGACAAATGAATATAGAATAGAACCCCTAAAAGTAAACTGTTTGGGGAAAAAGTGGGAGACAAATGCAAGGAAGTGGGAGACAAGCCGGGCGGAAACCCGACAACAAGCATCCAGTGTGGGAGACAAATGAAAAAGAGGGAGACAATTAAAAGGAAATGGGAGACAAATCAAGGAAGTGGGAGACAAGCCAGCCGGGACAAATGGAAGGAAGTGGGAGACAAATAAAAGGAAATGGGAGACAAATGCAAGGAAGTGGGAGACAAGCCAGCCGGGAACCGGACCACAAGCACCGAGCCTGAAGGAAGTGGGAGACAAGCCAGCCGGGACCACAAGCACCCAGCCTGGGAGACAAATGAAAAGAAGTGGGAGACAAGTGAAGAAGTGGGAGACAAATGAAAGGAAGTGGGAGACACATGAAAAGAATTGAGGGGAAACAAAAGACAAGTCAGCCGGGAACCTGACCACAGGCACCCAGCCTGGGAGACAAATGAAAAGAACTGGGAGACAAATGAAAGGAAGTGGGAGACAAGCCGGCCGGGAACCCGACCAGACCATCCAGCAGCAAGGCGACCATTCTTTAAAGCATTGAGAACCCCTAACAGTAAACTGTTTGGGGAACAAACGAGGAAAGTAGATGCTGTCAGGGCGGATTTGTCATTTATCTTCATTTTGGGAGTCCTCTTTATCACATTCTTGTTGAAACTCCAACTCACCAACCAGCATGGGGAGTCCAGCCAATTCAGGTCGGAGGAGCCGTTTGTTTGCGAGCCTCGTGGCCGCCTCGCGGCCGCCTCGCGGGGTGAACCCGCCGAGGTTGAATTTCGGTCAGTCTGTCATCGTGGTGAGCAGCTTCACTTCGATCCTGGCACTCACCTCACTCCGAGTCTTGAGCGGACAGCTCCCGGCTGGGAGCCACAAGGTGGAGAGCTGTTGCTTTTGAAGTAGGTGGAACTGGAACATGCATGGAAAAATGCAAGGCCCTTCACAAGAGTGGATAAGGTGGAGATAGAAGCAGAGTGTGATGAGTTATGGTGAGTTCTTTTTGAATAGAACACACAATTTGGTGCTTTGAGATTGCTTGAAATCACCGAGCAAAATAGCTGGCGCCGGTACCTATGCTCTCTCTAAACCTGTTCGTTGATTCGTTGTGTTGCGTGGTGTTGGATGGCGCTTAGATGGCGCTTGGCGTCCGAGGTTGGAGACGTCGTGGCGATTCACGGGATTTTAGTATGACACTCAGGCGGTGGGTTTGGCTAGACGGTTTGATGTTTGGTTGGTAAGGTTTGGCCAATCGAACTGATCATGAAGGGCAAATTGAACCGGAGCAGCTTTGCGATTTGCATTTGGAATATACATATAATTACATATATATATATATATAGATACTTAGATTTTCAATTGACTTAGCTTGGATGTTTAGGGGGATTGCCAAGACCCGATTTACTGTATTTATCAACTGACCCATAGAAGGTCCGGAAGGTCTTGGAGAGACCCCGCAAAAAGACATCCATGATGGAGGGATTCGTTGTGAGGACAATTAGACTATATTGGATTTATAATGATTTATATAATCCACAGGAAAGGAACAGAAAGGACATGTAGGGGATAGCACCGAGAATGGCTCGATTTAACGAAGGGTTCTACTAATTGTCAATTGTTTGTGCTCAACTGACATTACAGAGCTAATAGTCGCAGTTCTAACCCTAGCTACGTCTTCTGAGTTCTTGATGCTCCATGAATTCCTATGCCTGCTCACAATCAGACACATAAGAGGATGAAAACGCTTTTTGTTTGCATCTCCTCTTTGCACTCCATGCTCATGCTGAGGCTCAACTCATGCAGCCTTTGGGCATTTTGGGTGGTGTTTACCGAGTGGGTACGCTCAGCGCAGTGTTGAACAACAGACTTGGCCCGGACGTCGACATTTACTGTAGTTTGGCGTTTCACTCCGGCGTAACTTGTTGCAAACGAGCGATGTTGGCGACACCTAAGGAAGGGCAGCTCTCCACCTTGAAGTCTTTTAGCTTTCTGCACATCTAATATCTTCGAATATCTTCAAATCGTCTTCACAAGGCGGAAGCTGGCAACTCGGTAACATGGTAACATGGATTTCAGATGATCTAAGACTACTTCACGTCATGCGAGACGCGTGCCGAACGGTCTCTCGACCGACCGACCTCTCGGATTCCCGGCCGCGTGGTCGCCAGCCGCGCCGGCGAGTTTCGGCTCGAGGGCAAGCACTCAGTCCCTCTGATTTCACCAGGGGTGGGGAGGCGCCAGCATACCACACGTGCAGGTGCCAGGGAGAGCGCCAGACGGAGTTCTGGAGACAATCCTTCAGGGAGATGGAAGGGAGACGGATTTGGCCTAATTACATTTGATGAAGCTAATTCGTTGTTCGAACTGGTACTGCACGTGATTTTTAGTTACATACTTCTATCCCGGCCAAGCTAGGCTGCCAGCAGTGACCCGTCTGGATATTGGATGTCTGTGAGTTGCGACCATACATCCAAACAACATAGTTGAGCAGTTGAGCAGCTCTTCAACTCCATCATTCCAATCTGAAGTATGCTCGTATGCTCCGTTGGATCATGCGAGGGTATGCCGGCGACTGAAGAGTATGCCGTCAATACAGATCTTGAAATGCAAATCGAGCACGTGAGGCCTGGGTGATTCGACATGATTCGACCGATTCGACCGGTCGAACAGGTGAGTGTGGAAATTCCATCTTGGTTGGAACGGTTCCTTTTGTTGGATTCCAACCAACCAAGAGTGTTGGGGATTCTTGCAATGGGACCGACCCCTGCCTCGCACACTGTAGTTTGACATGTTAGAGGGCATACCTGGGCATGCGGCATACATGTCCACTGGGTACGGCAGATGGATACCGTACGCATGCCACACGGCCACGGAGTGAGGAGCTTGGGCCCCATGCACCGGACTCGCACAAAAACGGCGCCTCGAACTCGCCGGTCATCCAACCTAGAGCTGTCTGGCCTCCAACCTAAGAGCAATATTTTCAAATTTAATTCTGAACAACTTGGGACGTTTCTCATCGTTTCAGTGGGTTGATGCAGTTTTCAATAGTTGGTTTGTTGCGACTGGTTCTTGTGGGGTGTTGGGGGGGGGGTACACCAGCTTGACCCGTGTTCTTCTCTTTCTCGCCTTTGCGGCGCAAACGCGCAGGGAGAAAGGTGAGCTGTCGGAAGCACAGTGCCGATCACTTTGTGAGACTTGGCCCACAGATCAGTGAGTTGTGCATGGCACAAGCGGAGGGTTTACCCTGTGGTCATGGTCCTAGCAATCCAAGCCACTAACACTTGGGAAGTGACTTGATTGAGAATGAAGAATCATTCGACATCTACTGTAATTATCATACGATGTTGGTCCAAAAGGAGTACTGCTGAAAAGAAGGACTCCGTCACCAGCTCGGACACCTCTTAGCCTTGGCCTTAGGTTTTCTCCGCAGGTTCGCAGGGACTGCTCCGTGGGAGTCTGGCCGCACACCCGACCTTCACGGATTTGGCTTCCCAAAGGAATCAAAAGCAAACCCTGACCCTTGGACCACCACAACCAATGTGGTTTGAACCACAACTAGTTTGTGCACTATCACTAGGGACTAGGGGTGGAGTTTGTACCACAATCACGGTATTCCCTCTGTTCATTGCCATGTTGGTCGATTTCCAAGGAGAAAGTCCGGGAGATTCTTCAAGAAGAGTCGAACTGTCAACCAGTTCGTTGCCCCGTCTCTAGACTTGATGAATCGCCGTTCGCCGGCCCTGATGAACGGACGAATACGGCCCGCAGCTCGCACGGCCGGTTCAGTGTGTTGTGGTAAAAATTTGTTCCTACTACTAGCGATGCACTTGTTACTACTAGCGACTTGTTACTACTAGCGATGCACTTGTTCCTAATAGCTTCTTGTTACTAGTAGTAAGGCCCTTGTTACTAGTAGCGATGCCAGGAGTGCCCCTAGTAGCGTCCATTCTCCTAGTAGCGATGCCCTTTGTTACTAGTAGCTTCCCTTTCTCTGTTCGGGTATGGATCACGAGATTCACGAGATTGGTTTCCAGGGATTCATGACATATATATATATATATAAATACTGACTCCGTTCTGCGAGCAGTTGCTGGTTGCTTTCCAGGTCACCGTTTGCGGAGACATCCACGGCCAATTCTTGGATCTTAAGGCGACAGGGTTCAGTTGAGATCGCTTGAGTTGGGAGCTGACAAGGTTTTGACTGGGTGAGAAGCGATTTGATGCGATGAAGCCAGGTAATGAACGGGAACATGTTTTCTTGAGCGGACAAGGAACTTTGCTCTGTATCACGGTAGTTCTGGCCTAAATATAGTTTTTTTTTCTTTTTTTCACCGCAGACTTCTTTTTGTTGGATAATCTGAACAAGTCAACTGACAATGTCCCGGGCACAAACCAGCTTCTCCAAAGAACCAAGAAGGACTCGAGAAAAGGTGCGCCTAAGGTGCCACTGTATCTTGCTGAACATTGATGGCAGACATCCGACAACTTATTGACATGAAAACGGATGAACTTTCTGAACGAATTCAAACAAACATGAGCAAACTACGGTAGATTGATACGTGTTTGCTAGCACACCCTCCATTCATGTGTGGAGCTGAACCAATCAACATAATTGGTGTGGCTGCAGACCGTAGGTTCCCCGACACTCAGCACCAATTAGTTTGGGGTGCCTTTTCCTTCCTGAACCCTGAGCCTGACCAGGGAGAGGAGGATAGTCTTGTGATCTCAAAGGTCAGTTGACATTGCATGCTGAACAGACCCGTTCTCAAATATCTGCACCAGTTGAACTCAAGGTCTTGGTTCTTTTCTCATTCTCTGCTCTGGATTTCCTGGAATAATTGGCCCAGCCATGCCCAGCCAGGAGTTGTTCCGTATTGGAGGCCCGTTGCCAGAGATCCTTGGCCTCTTTATAATGCATGATGATACAGGGCATTTGCAGTGGAACACTTCTACCATTACCTGCTCCTATTATTTGGATAAATTTGGATAGCAATATTCAATATTCCTACTACTTGTTGCGTGTTGGTTGAGGACCAACTACTTGTTCCTTGGTGACTATGTGGACCGCGGCTACTACTCCGTGAAGACGGTGTCTTTGATGTTCCTCTACAAAGTCCGCTTCAAGGACGTGTTGTTTGCCTCAGTTTGTGACCTCCATCTATCTCCTGTGTTGCTTGTAATGGTCAGCATGTCCTCTTGGTCCAGTGAAACCATGTGAAACCACGATAAACCGCGTGAAAACACCTGAAACCACGTGAAACCCGTGCGAAACGCTTCCGCGTGGACCGATCTTGACCGATCGGCGATGAATCGAACTCGTTGGCAGGAGCGCATCACCATCCTGCGCGGAAACCACGAGAGTCGTCCTCCAGAGGCATTTAGGATCGCTTCGGACGGAAGTTTGGCAGCCATTGGCAGCCACTGGCCATGTTGTATCCATGTAGTATCCTTTGCGGTGACTTATTGTGGAGTTGGAAACGGCTCTATAGTTGGCTGGTCTTCTTACAAGAACACACCCAACTCACAGCCGCTGGAAGAATTTCAGATGGTCCTCAATGTCTGACATGAATTGGAAGGCGGAGGAACCACGTGGGAGTTAGACGGTCCTCATTACTCAGATAGGAGATTGCTCCGTCCAATCCGAGGCCAAATCACACAGGTCTATGGATTCTTTGACGAATGCGTGAGAGCCTACCGCGGCCCGCAGGCAGGGCGCGAAGTTAGCATACGATGTGGGCCCACAGATTCCTACCAGTGATCAACAGTGTCCAAATGCTGTTTGCTTGGAAAATAGAATTGAAGTCAAGTCAAGGTTTCAAGGAAGCAGCTTACCTTGAAGCACTGATTGCTGTCGATAACACGGTTTTGATGGATATTTAATTACATTTCTTTTGGCTGGACTCAAGGCTCAAGACAACGCAAAGATATGCAACGTTGATTTAAGACCTAAACTGATGTAAAGTCACTTGAGTTCATGCATAGTTTTGATGCAAAGTTGCATCGAGCAAGAACCCCCATGTCAGAGCTGCTCAGGTGTGGAAGCTGTTTACGGACTCCTTTGATTATTTGCCAGCCGCTTGACGCCTTCTTAGAATCCTCACCCGGATCAGTGGGAAGCCAGGTCTTTTGATGGTAGAGCTATCACGTTCCAAGCTCTGGATCATGCAAAGGATCATTTCCATTCGGCCGTATGTATGTTTTTCTTACTATTATCATCTTTCTTTTTCATTGATTTTTATTGTATATTTTTGTTGGTGAGCTTCAAGAGCAGATGTGACCAAGGTGACAGCGGTGATTGAAAATCAGATCATTTGTGCCTTGGTGTGGTTGGAAATTCAGGTTGCTATGTGTTCATTTGGTGAGCAATATGCAACATCAGAGACTTCATGGTCAAGCAGCTCATAAATTGGGCACGATCAACCCACGGACAATGGAGCAATGGTAGAACCTGCCAAAGACAGTAAAGCCTGTAAAGGATTGGCGTCGGGAAAACCCTCACACCATTTACTCATAGAATATATAGAGTGCCCGCTTTCTTAAAAATCATACTTTACCTCAAAAAAAAACAAGAATCAATGTGGTGAGGCATGCACGGCGGAATCTCTCCCTCTCTGGATTCCTTGGACAACATCCGACAGCTGGACCGGATTCAGGAGGCAGATGCCGCGCAAAACAGAGCCGGCCTGCGTAAGTCGAGTGCAGATGCCATCGTAGTAGCAAGGAGTATTGAGGGTGTAGTCTGGTAATATTTGCGACATGCTGTCAAGAACACTTGCAACATCTTCAAACTTCTTACTGCCCCTTCCATTTGAGGATTCTACACTTTAAGGTTTCATTTGCCCCGCGCCGGTCATCTTTCCTTTGCTAGCCCAACTTGACCAACCGCGGAACCGTCGCAGGTCCCTCATGAGGGCCCGATGCTTCTTGGCGCTGAAGGTCGGTGTGTGGCCAATTGCGGACCATCCTCTGGGGAGCGGTGTATGATCCAAGAATCTCCAAAGCAGACACATGAAAAGGAAAAGCATCTAGGAAAACAATTAAAGTATGTTTAAAGTATTTTAAAGTAATTATATAATTATATAACTATATAGTTGAAATATGTCGAAATGAGCTCAGAAGAAAGATGAAGAAAGCCTGTGAAGCCAGAAAACAGTTCTCACTCAGGTGTGACTTGCTTTGGTCAGACCCAGATGATCGTTGTGGATGGGGTATTTCACCGAGAGGAGCACGATCCTGGACAGGTTTGTTCTTGAGGTTGTGTGGTGACAGGTGGGCCAAAACGGGTGGTGGTGGTGGTGGTAGTAGTAGCAGTAGTAGTAGTAGTAAGTACACAGCAGTGTCCCATCGTCAGAAAGGTTTGCCCTGAGTTATGTCTCACTATGTCTCACTCTGTCCCTCAGATTCCACTTGAATTCATTTGGCCACCAAAAGCACGATGACCGCGACGACACTGTGACGATGTCGGTGGCAGGAGCTGGCTATACTTTTGGGCAGGACATCTCAGAGCAGTTTCTTGACGTCCATTGCGTCGATTTTACTTTCAGGGACGGTCACAATGAGTTTCTGCATGTTTCTGCTGTTGTTTGGGGGTTACTTCGGAATGAACAGGGAGACGAAAGAACTCTCCAAATTTGGTTGCTTGGCGGCCAAAATTCCACATTATGAAAGCTGCGGGAACAGATTTTGACCCACTCTCATCCCACTCTCATGTAATTGCATGTTAGGCGATCATCGACGCACTGCATGATGTCAAGCTGAGGGTTGGATCGTTGCATTTCCATGAAAAGAGATTGTCATAGTGGGAGCCTGTTCTTTGAAGGAGGTATTGTTGGAAGGGACGCATGAAGACGGACAGCCGACAAATGTGTTCTTTCTTGTTTTGCCCATAGTCACTCGCCATCCATGGCCCGTAAAGGCATGCTGAAACTATGCAGGCTTTGACTAGTTTCCAGGTAACGGAGTGTCTTGAAAGTAGATGAAACACCCAGGTATACCCAGGTTTGTGGCCAAAGGAGCAAGTCTCATACCCGCTCTCTGGCCGCTCTCAGGTTCAATCATGCAAATGGTCTCAAACTCATTGCGCGTGCGCACCAGCTCGTCATGGAGGGGTACAATTGGTGCCATGACAGGCACTCGCCGCAGTCGCGGCATGATTCCATTTTGAGCACTTTCACGACTTTCAGGGGTTGTTTGGCACCTGAATTTCACACAATAATTTCAAAAGTTTGACCAGCAAGAATTGCAGATCGTTGATGAACCAGAGAGTGTCAACACTTTGCCGTCCACTCGTTCAGGCATGTCGTCACAATCTTCTCAGCGCCCAATTACTGCTACAGGCGCCAAACGGCTGGTGTAGCTGTTGGGGCCAAGACTAGTAGCGTGGCACTTGTTCCTAGTAGCTTCTTGTTACTACTAGTAAGGCACATGTTACTACTAGCGTGGCACCTGTTACTACTAGCTTCTTGTTACTACTAGTAAGCATGGTGTGGTAGAATTATGTAGAAATGAGGTTGGTCCCAGGCCAGACTAGTCTATCTAGTTTTGGGTCTTGACTTAAGAGGGCCAAGATCTTCCGGCTTGTCACTTCAGTCAGTTTGATTATTGACTACCGTGGCCATTGGCAACTCATGACCCTTGAGGTGTGGTAACCAAGCCGCCGTCATGGAAATTGACGAGCACCTCAAGTGTTTTGACCGCAGCATATGGGTGAATGGCTTCTTGAGCATGTTCAATCATGATCTTCAGATGTTTATTTGTCCCGCAATCGGGTACACGTCATAATATGTCAATGCACCTGCTTCAAGAATGTGAGTTTTTGGTTCATCACTTCCAACCGCAGACAATCAGGTACACATATCTGCAATTCGATCCACCGCCTGTTCAGAAGGAGCACCGACTCTTTTTTCTCCCCCTTGAGTCTACTGTGTGTTTTGTGTCTTTTTTTCCTGGTCTGTTGAGTTTCAACTGCTGTAGCTTTGCCAGGAGATTCCAGCTGAAGGAGTGAAGCGCACTCCGGACTACTTCCTTTGAAGGGAACTCGGGAACACCGACGCGAAGCGAGAACTGCGTGAAAAGGAGATCCTTCCCGCGAATCCATGGGCTTTGTGTAGTCTAGGGTTTGAGTCTTGGAGTGCTGGACATTACTCTCTATTATCAACCAGAAAGCTCTATATACTGTAGCTAGAACATGCTATGACTTTATTGGCTTCAAATCCCTTAAACAGGTCCACATTCAGCTTTGCAGTATGGGTAGAACATGTTGTCCCTGTTTGGCGTCAGTTCTTGGACGAGAGGCTGAAACGACGCAGCAGAGACCATGCGCCGAATCCATCCTCGTGCAATGAGGTTGAATCAGCAACCGCCTCCGCTTGAAAGGAGCATACTAGTAGTAACAAGAAGCTATTAGGAACAAGTGCATCGCTTCTAGTAACAAGTGCCTTACTAGTAGTAACAAGAAGCTACTAGAAGCAAGTGCAACCACTTTTTCTGCCTTAACCGTCTTCGCCTCTTCCCACAGCCATGTTCCGCCCGTGGAACCCCGCCGCGGCGCTCAGGTCACCACCCAGGGCTTCGTGGATCTCGGAAAGTTGGCGGCTTTCTTGAAGGAGGCGACTGGGTGGGCGAGGAGACGGCGAGGACTAGACTCGACTGAGGGAGCAGACTTTTTGAAGATGCTAAACAAAATACACTTCTGGAATGAGCAGAACTGCGATGCAACACCCCACCGCCCAAGTGCCTGCAGGGCAAATTCGATGGAATTTCAGATGCCAGGTGCCTGCAGTTCAGGTACCTCCTGGTGGAGGTGTCGACTTCCAATTTCGAGGAGGCATCCGGCCGGAGGATGGTTGACCAATATTGATCGGCACAAAAGGAGGTGGAAGAGAGTCAGAGTGACGTGTCCTATTTTTGGCGAGTGATCACTCCACCACTCCACGGTCGCACGCACGGTGGGGCCAGCCGAGGTGCTTTGGAGTTTCGGGACGTCCACTACACCTATGCACACAACGCTGTGCTGCGGGGAGCTTCCTTGGTGTGCCAATGCGAAGTTTGGGGATGGGAAGCACACGTGGATACATACATATATATATATACATTATAGTAATATACATTTAATTACTTATTATATATGTATATAAAAATTATGCGTTTATTTATTTAGTCATCACTCATCATCACCTTTAGACCATGATGAATCAATATGATCAGGTGATTTGTTTCGGCAGCGAGCTATGTGGGAGAAACCCGTTAATTTGCGCACTACTAGTTGGCCATAGACCCTCCAAGCCTTTGGCACCGCATACATAGGTTTTATCTTCTATATTTGGCCATATCTTCCCATAGAGCCAAGCAGCTCAATCATCCAAAAGATACGAGAAACCCATAGAAGCCCATATACAATATACAGACATATAGAGATATCCAATGATAGAGAGAACTTCTTAAGATTTAAGACCCCCTATATTTTCCACGTCTTCTCAGCCAGGATATCAAGCCCGGCTCGAAGGTGGCGATTGTCGGACCCAGCGGTTCCACGGCCTCGGCTGGAGAAAGAATCTCCAAGTTTTCTGTGTCTAATTTGCAGTTACGTGTAACTGTTGTAACTCATGCAGTTAAACCATACTTTTTGCATAGTGTTTCATTCATTTGCAACACAGAGTCTTTGCTTATATTTATTTGCTTATCTTAGTTGCCCTGGAACAAAGCAAACCACAAGAATTTGAGGTCTAGAGTCTAGAGCTGCTAGAGCGATTGAAGCCTCCTCAGGTTTGTTGCTCCGTATGATCCACTATCAGTAAGCTTCATAATTATATAAATCTTATAGTTACATCCTCTCTAATACCCGGGAAAAGAGCTGACTACATAGATGACCGATGACACGCAGCTTTACCATTTGACTCCCTAGTACATGTCCCAACCATCAGGTTCCGGCAAGAGCACATTGCTCAGATTGCTCTACCGCTTGAACGATCCGCAGGAGGGGCAGGCGCGGAGAAAAACAACTTGACCATGCAATGCTGGCAATGAAATTATGTCAGGGTGGAGACGATGCTCGTGGCAATACCTCACTTGGTGGACACCAAGTAAGCCCCAAAGCCCTCAAGTCTTTTGTTGTCCTAAATCTGTTGGATGCCAAATCCAAATTTCATTCCAGGCTCCTGCAGGGAGGCCACACACCATTGCAGGGTGAAGTCACTACCTGATTGATGTCTTTACAAGGACTATGCAATGACAATGCTTGGTCTCATACAGGAATGCCAGAGTAATCCAGGGTATGTTCTATCAGCAGAGCCCACGCATGCTGCAGTTTCAATGAAGAATCATCCTGAAATCCACCGTGAGAAATCAAGCTGCCCATCTTGAGCCGCTCCAGTCAGAACCGTTCGCTCAGCAAGAACCGTTCGCACCGCCGAGGTGCTCATTGATGGGCAGGATGTGAAGACACTCAATCCATCCTTTCGACGCTTCCTGGGCATCGTCCCACAGGTGCGATGGAGAGTTCCGGGAGTGCGTTCGGAAAGAGGCACAGTACGTATCGAAAGGAGACCGGAGCGGTTGAGGTCTGCAGAGCAATTGGTGTTGTTTGTTCTTTTTTCACCCCTTTGTTACCTGCCCAGTCGATATTCTCTTTGTTGTTTTAGTGATTTGTATGTCGTCATTGTTGGGTCTAGTTCATACAGCTGTTTTTCTTCTACCGAGGGATGGTCAACTTGATTGGACATTTGTATCTAGGAACACCTGTTCTGGTATGCACTGGATGTTGGCCTCTTGTTTGCAGGCTCTTCTGTTTGCAACAGAAGACAATTGCTGAGCTTAGTTCATTGCAAGGATTGTGCATTGTTCAACGACACCATTCGCGCGGAAGCCCTGCTCGCTACGGATGATTCTGAACGAGTCTCCGATAGATGCAACGCATGTTTGTTTTGCTCGTGTGGAACCTTTTAAACCAATTCAACTCTTTAAATCCAACTCTGGTGACCGAGGGTAAGCAAGATCCTGGCATCTCCTTCAGCGATTGCAGATCCGCCAACGATGCTCACAAACACCATAAATTTATATAAATTTAGATATACATGCAAACTTTCTGGTGCCGGATTCATTTCATGAATGTCTTCCTTCAGAACGCAGCAAACTGTCCGAGTCTGCAATGCGCAAAAAACCACATCCAACGAGCTAAGAAGACTATTGATTTCGCTTGTCCTGCCTCTACAGCCTGAGTACCACAATGTGGTTGGAACACTGATTTTTGAACATAGAACTCGTTAGATGTCTTTCGGTCCCTACTCACTTCTGCAAAGCAAGAAAACATAAGAACACACTTAGGCCATATTGGTTCCTCACAACAACCCAGGGGCGCCACTGCGAATGAGGCTTCAACATCCGCTATGCTCGGCCTGATGCAACAGATGCAGAGGCCCGAACAACTCGGCGTGGCATAATCCTGTAGCACAGGTGGCTGCGTTTTTGAACAGGGAATATCGGAGTACCTCCTCAAATAGTGTGATGTGAGAGAATCATTACATACGTAATACATAACATTAAGTATGTATGTTATACCTATAACATATACTGTATATATATAACACGTACTGTATTTTCTTAAATTGATATATCCGTTGTAATCACGCACTTGACGTGCTCTTCCTGGCTGTGCTTGTGAACGCTCCTTGCTGAAGAAGTCCGCACCAGGTCGAGTGGGCAGCTCGCCTTGCACAGATCCATGACCACATCGTCTCCTTGCCAGCAGGCGAGCGCCGGCATTTGGCCTGTGTTTCCCTGTTTTTGCTTGCCCAACAAGAAGCTACTAGTAACAAGTGCATCGCTTCTAGTAACAAGTGCCTTACTAGTAGTAACAAGAAGCTATTATTTGGGTGTTGTCAAAATTGATGGACTTTGGAGCTTCAAAGGTAGACAGACGGCCTTCAACACAAAGTCAGATCGCTTTTTGATGCGTGCGAAAACAGTTTTGGAGTCTTAGCGTCTTCTGCTTTTGTCCTCCGGAGGCTATGACACCGCCGTGGGGGAGCGTGGCATGAAACTGAGCGGTGGCGAGCCAGCGGGCCCAGTGTGGCTATGGTGGTTGCATGTCTATTTGCAATTCTATGGAGCAGCTGAGTGTGATGTTGGGCACCTTACCACTTTCCTGGGATGACGGCAGGATATGGCCTCTGTATCACCTTTTTGTTGTGCGGGATGTTCCATCCAGCCACCGTTGGAAAGGATCCTTTTTAAGATTAGTATCTGGTGTATCCATTTGCAGCTTGCTACGTATATGTTATGCCGTTTTAGGCACATTTGGTATGTTTTTTAGTCATGCTCATAGGTGTTTATATGATTCTATTTGCGTGACGCGGTGTTTATATCATTGTATGTTTCAAAGAGATTCAGACCTTCGACACATGCTAGACTTGATAGACTTGTTTCAACATGAATTCCTGTGTGACTTCTACTTCAGGCGTCACCGGGTGTCTTAATGCATTCGGTCCTGCGTCAGGCGGCAGCGCGTCGGCATTGCGCGGTGTCTGCTGGCGGATCCGTCCCTCGGCGCGGTGTCTGCTGGCTTCAGACCTGCCTATCCTGGGAGTTCGATGGCCTCCCACCTAATAGATCCTGATTGCGATGGCCTCCACCCTAGGTTGGAGGCCATCGCTATTAGGTTGGAGGCATGTCTTAACTTCGGGAGATGGAAGGGCTGTTTTTTCTCGAGCGATTTTGTTGTTTTTTGGTACAAACAACATGATTCATTTTGCGAATCTTTTCTGAAGTATCATCATGTATACCACATGTGTTACCCATGCAGTTGCCAAAATGCATGAAGAAGTTTTTAGTGACCAGCCACCTCGACTCACTTACCTCGACTCACTTCTCGCATCGAGACAAGCAACCGCATGCCACGAGGTCGGTGTGCCTGCTGGACGAAGCCACCAGTGCACTGGATGTTCGCACCGAGCGCGCCTTGGCGGAGGCCATGCAGGAGCTGATGAAAGGCCGACGAGGGTTGAAAGAAGGGAAAGAGGGGTGATGTGATGATATGCCATACCTTGGGTAGTGTTTGTTCTCGTGATCCATAGCAATCCATTGAGTTATGATGAGTCATATGATGTCGTATCGTATTATGTTGTATTAATCTAAATTTACATTTGTTGGATCAAGCTTTTATGAGAGGTCTGCTTGATTGTCTTGAACTTGAAAGACCTTGCCAATTACTTCTACATTTCACGAGAAGTCCCATTGGCCAAATATTTTGCAGATTTTTCTGATGCTTACAAGCCCCTAGTAGCGTCCTTGCTCCTAGTAGCGATGCCAGGAGCCCCTAGTAGCTTCTTGTTCCTAGTAGTAAGGGCAGGAGCCCCTAGTAGCACACCACGACCAAAGCGACCAAAAAGCGACCCCCGTGTCGCAGGGGCTGATCGATGCATCCTCACACTGTTAAGAAGTTTCACGAGAGAAGGGTATCATAAATTTGTGATTGTGGAGCCTTCATATGCGTTTTCCAAGTGTGAAATTGGATTCAAGGTTGCCATATTATATATTGAATTTAAACGATTGGACACTGACACTTAAAACGCATATTGACTGAAGTTGTAATGTTTGAGGTGTTCAAAGTCATGGTGATGGAACTTCTTAAAATCACAAGGAGTAATGGACCGTGCAAATTCCAATGAACAAGAACATAGGGACACACGTGACACAAACAAAGTCCTATTCTACAACTCTTCATCCTTCTGAGATTTTCTTCTGTGATCTGCCATCTGCAGAAATTACTTTTGTCAGAATGTCAGAAGCTCACTAAGAGACACCAGTAACACTGTGAGATTAGGGGTCCAGTCCCTTTTATGTAGTCCAAAAATGCATGCGCAAACAGATGCACCACCTTCATACGTGTAAAATTGTGTAAATATCTTTGAATTATACATCAATTGAGGTACCACATATTGCAGATTCCGCCCAGGGAGGTATCAGAATTTTCTGACGATCATCATAATTTTCTGACGATCCTCAGAATTTTCTGACGATCATCAGAATTTTCTGACGATCATCAGAATTTTCTGATGATCATCAGAATTTTTCATAATATTCCCAGATTCATCATAATATTCTGAGCACCCATAAGCGTAAAAACACAATCTTGTTAAAATAAGTGTTTCATGAACGCATATTGGCTTACCCAACTATCAATATATATGCTGTGACGCTTCCAGAGCTATTTCGCATGCCCTCACGAAACTCCATACACACTGTCGCGCCGAATTCGACGGACGACCTGCCCAGGGCGCACCTCGCTGATCGTGGCCCACCGGCTGCAGACAGTGCAGCGATGCGACACGGTGGCCTTCCTCGAGGCGCAACAACGTGCGACACATGGCACAAGTGGGAGCGTTTTGAGAACGTGGCCGTGGTGGCCTTTGTATACCGGTCAGGAGGTAGGCCAGGTACCTTTTTTAAAGCATTGTGGTAGGCCAGGGAGATGATGTTTTCAGGTGGTGAGTGTTTTTTCTATGAGCTGCATTGAATTACATGCATGTGACTCCTTGTTCTCCTGATGAGAAGGTCTTGAGTCTTGGGACCGCCCTCCTGGCGTCGCGTTTCCATTGGGGAACACACGTTTTTTCTACTATGCCGTGACTTCCGCGGCTGAGTGTAGAATCAATTTAACGTGTTCCTTGAGACGATTTGTCTTGGGTGCCCAATGCAGCTGAAAAATCTTGAGAACCAACAACTGCTGGACATCTAGGAAAAGAATTGCCAACACTCCGAAAAGCAATCCAATCTAAGCTTCACAACCCGATTGTCAACATGTGAGAGGTAATCTCTTTGACCTCTGGAAAGCTCCAAGGTGACAGTGGGTGAGAGTGGTTTTAGAGTCCTTAGATTCAAGCAGTCTACCTTTGGCAGCATCTTGCGGTTTCCAACGCTTTGCTGCTTGTTGTGACATCCCGTAGCAATGCTGATCGTTCGTTCCTGTGGGTTGAAATATGTTGACATAGACATAGAGCACTGCACGATCAGACAGGGTGGCGTGATCAGTGAACAAGGTCCTCACGAGGCTCGACTCAGCTGCATGGTATGGGAATGTATGGGACTATATGAAAAAAATGTTATATAGTTATTCTATAATATATTATAGATATACACACATTGTGGGCATATATACACATTGTGGGCTTGTCTAACCGTCTCACCGAAGGGGAACATCCGTTCATTTTGATGGCTGATGTCATTGCCGTGGTTATGAACCTTGGCAAAGCAAGCTCTCAACACAGCACCTTACACGAGAGAGTCATTTCATCTCCAGTGCTTTGTGGAAACCTGGCTTCGTTGAGCCCCCACCAGGAACTCCTTGACAGAAGTGAACGATACCGACGCTTTTGGCAGGGTGTGAAGGACTCGGCTGGTCATGGCAGCTCAAAAACAGGAAATCCTTGCATCGGATGGCCCTCACCTTGAGTCATGAGTTTCCGACAGGTGTTCCAACCTTCCAGGTATGGATGTCAAGAGGTTTGGTAGGGTTGGGTGGTTTGGTGCGAGAGATTCCTCCCAGAAATTCGAATCAGCTAAGGTACCTGGAGAAGCTTGATTGAAAAAAGACCGCTGGGACATGTGTGAGGGCTAGCGGCTATTAGCGGCTAGCGTTCATTTGAGTGGTGGCAGTGGTGGTTAGATTTCTTTCCATCCGTATTTAGTTTGATTTTATTCTTTTCCAACAAACCTGGTCTGAATCAGCAACCACTTAATGATGTTCATGGTCAAGATCAGCACAGAATTTAGACTCATGTCGTCTTATTCAGTCTTCTGATTTTGCTCTCATAAGTGCGTTTGATTCGCAACGTCAACTGAAACAGGAAAAAGACGCACAACCAATAAGACTGACAGTTTTGGAGCTGTATCAAAGAGGGACAGGTGCAGCATATCATCCACAGCTTGCGCGGCACTATGGATATATATATATATATCGATTCAGTAGGAACTTGTACAGCATGAAAGAGGACAAGTAACTTCAAGTACATGCATTCTAGGCAACTTCGGGCGGATTGCAATTTGTCGATAGCTAGCTCCATTCACCAGGTGCCAAAGGTGTCACCAGGTTGGCTCCGAATTCACCGGGCCCAGTGCTCCATTGGGAGCGAGGTGCCCTTGCATTGATTCTCAGGCGGGGGGCATCGGGGGCAACAGGCTTTTGGATCAGAGATTGATATTGGTATCAATTCAGTTGATATGTTTGGTTGATTTTGGTTGATCATTTCGTTTGGCCCCTTCCGCTGGTCGGTTCAGAGCTTCTTGGGTTTGCCAGGATGCGGCCAACGTTGCTGCAGCTTCTGCAGCTTGGACTACTCTCACAATGTCTCTCACAGGTTCGATCTGAGGCCAGAGTCATCAGAGACGGAAACTGAACAGAACAATCAGAATCCAAAAGTAGTGAGAAACACGCATCATCGGCGAGACACGGCATGAGCGATCCTGCACTGTCAACTGGCCTGGCAACAGAATCTCAATGTGGAAAGAGGTCGGCTGGTTTTCTGAGGATCATTCGACAGGAATCCGAGGAAATGGTTGACTGTATGACAGTATGAAAGGTCCAAACATCGGCAGCAAAAGCTATATGTTTCCAGTTTTGATTTGTTTATCTCAGTTGTTTGAGATTGAGATACACAGCCATACACAGAAATTCTAATGTGCCGGCTTTGACAGGCAGAGTGCCCGAGCAATGCAGGGACAGCGTCCTTCTTGTACTTGTGATTGCAATAATTTTAATATTGAATTTCAAGTAGCTGCTTGTCAAAAGCACTCCTGAAAGCCGTGTGGTCTTGGTGTTCAACACCTGCGACCCGGGCTCTTGTCCTACTGCGCCCACCTCCAGGAGGCTCTCCCTCCGGGAAGCTCGGAGTCCGTTGACCGAGCTTCACGGCCGGGACGAGGCCAAGGCTGGCATTGGCGGAGCGAGCCATGATCCGAGCCGGCCAGAGCTGGAGCTGGTTTCAGTTGGTTTCAGCTTTATGGAGATAAAGAGGATTTGGTGCAAACTCGAGGCCTTGAGGCCCTTTGATCCCCTTTGACTGATTGTAGAACCCATACAGTGGTTTGCGTGAAGTCGAACTGGTTTTGCTTCTTGATTCTCGATGCAACTTGGTTGATGTAGTCACTGCTCGTTACCTGCAAGTGAGCCTTTGCTTTCAGGACAACACCGGTCATAGTTTATTCGCGAGCGCGACCGGAAAGATGATTGTAGCTGAGAAGGAACTGGTTTCAGCTGGATTGCATCTGGTTGCAGTTTCGGTGATCTCTTGTTGCAACTGGTTGCGTTTGTCAGGCAATGATGCGCGAAGCAGTGACACTGCCGTTGCGCATGGCACGCATCCCAGGACAGTGGAACATGTTCTTCACAGCATAGTAGCTCCTGGCCATACTACTAGGAACAAGAAGCTACTAGGGGCTCCTGGCAAAGGACGCTGTTAGGGGCTCCTGGCCTTACTACTAGGAGCAAGGACGCTACTAGTAACAAAGGGCTACTGTTCCTCACAGCATGTTCCACAACGGAAAAGGCACGCTGCCGATCCAAGGCTGATGTTTTAGACTTCGAGCGGATTTTCTGGCGCTCCGCCGAGCTCCACTGGCACTTTGAATGAGTTTCGTTGTTTCCCTTTGGTTTGCTCATTGTTAATTATGTTCATTCCTAGACAGAGTGTGTGTCAAAGCGTGACCTTGTTTGCAGCTACAGTTGCTGTTGCTGATTTCTGGGTGTCGGCTGCATTTCCTGTTGTACCAAAATCTCAGGAATCTAAAGCTTATAATTCTGCAAAATTCACAGTTCAGGTACAATCCAAATCAACTATCATTTTGCTTCACATGATTTCATTTGTTCTGTCTAGGGGCTTTCCCCGCACCAATCGCTTGGTCTTTCCTGCCAGGCGCAAAGCCTTGCTGGTGTCGGGCCCGGCGGGCTGTGGCAAGCGCGCGCTGGCAGAGGCAGCAGCAGCTGAGGCGGGCGCGCAGGCATGGTTCGGTGGCCGAGCAGGGGGATGAATTGAATAGATGAGTTCATGAGGTGGATGGCAAAAGTTTGTCGGACAAGAATCAGTTTGAATCAGCGTCTTACGAATGAACGCGTGCTTCAGTGGCCCGGCCAACTTCTCGGGGACTATGTCGTATGGTTGTTTAGTGCTGTCATCCAAGTCCGAGTTGCATACTAGATCGATCATACATCCATGATCCGTCGTTCATTATTTTGCAGCTGCAGAGATCCTGTCCATTTGCCCGCTAAACTCCAGTTTGCATTGCAATAAGCCATAATCCCAGTAAGAAAGGACTATGTTTGATGTTGCGCTTGTCCACTAGAGTTTCTTTGTTTCTTGGTCTGCTACTTCATGAGCTGCGCAATCACCTCAGCCTGGATTGCGAAGACTTCCGTCCACGTCAGGTTTTGCACCTTGCCGCACGTGATGCCAAGACATCGGACTTCTGCAGGTGCGGAATTCGGTCGTCAGGTGAGTGACCGACACCCTCCACCCACCGTTGGCCTTTGTGTGGGGGCGTCTGGAGCAAATAAGGGTTACAGTGAGGGTTACAGTTCAGGGGTGCAAACTCCGTTCCCCATTCGATGGTGAAGTTGAGAGGCTTTTGGAGGCCGACTGATGGTGCCAAGGACTGCTTTATCCACATCTTCCACATCAAAGAAGCCTGTCATGGTGCTGATCGAGGGATTAGCCATGAGCTTAGAGGTGAAGTGCTCTCAGGGCTACGCTTTTCCAACGCCATCAGAGGTGTGGCAGGTGGAGTTGGAGATTTCAATTCGGCTTTTCTCAGCAACTTTCAGCAGACAATTCACCTGGTCACCTCATCGTTGCCCCAATAAGTCTGGGTGGAGTCCACGCGCCTGAACATGACGTAACATGACAGTGCCTTTGGGCAGTCTGAGAATGACCACTGTCTTCATGCAGCTGCAGCTGCATAACATACAGGCCCTCCATTTGGAAGGCTTGATGCGGCAATTGGACTCATAAGCAGAAGGAGCAAGCAAGGCTGAAGTTTGAATTTCAAGAGATCATGGCATAGCGGCTCTCATCATTCTGGAAGCTGTTGAGTTCGCACTGCTCAGGAGATGGAGCCAGAGGCAGCTTCCACAATTGGCCACTGCCTCACGGAGGCAAGCGACTTCGCTCTTCCTTCTATGGAAGTATTTTTGGAGAAACGGACGGTATTTGCTGTGACGCACGATGGTAGTTCCAGCACGTTTCATCATTCTCCTTTCAGAAATTCAGGCACACAAGGCAGTGATGCTGCATCCAAGTCAGAGTGCTTGCGGAACATTTGCATCATCTCAGCGAAACATGGAGATCATGAACGTCCGCAGTGAGAAGCCACTTTCAGACTTGCAAAGCCTTGCCCAAGCCAGTAGGTTGCCAGGGAGCACCAACGCATTGCCTTCGTTGCAAGCGCCAGCGCGGGGACCAACTTTGGTGGAAACAGGAGAATTGCTTTTAAGGCGGCAGCTGAAGACCATGAATGTCTTGACTTCCTCCTAAAACATGGCGGGACCGGGACCAGGCTCGGCTCAAAAGAAAACTATACTATCAAACACTTTTGGCCTTCTAGCAATTGGACATCCTTGGCTTGCAGACCCCACAACCACCAGTCGTGGAGCAAAGTCAGGTGCATGTGTTCTTTTTTCAAGATCTTTGAGTGACACAATTGGACTTGTTCATTTGCCAACTTTGTAACATTGTTGATCAATCCAATTCTGCAAATGTGATGGCCAAGTCTCAAAGATTCCAAGTCTTGGGAACCCAGGTTCTGAACCAAGCAGCTTCCTTCATCCAATTGAGTTCGAGCGCCTAGAAAGCGACCGAACAATGGCTGATGTGCATGAGCCTTGGAATTGGTACTGTATGTCATCGTGTTCAGAGGAAAAGTGCATTTGGTTGCTGAGGCTCTTCCCCTTTGGCTGGGTGCTGCAAATCCCAGCGCCTGGCCAGGTAGGGTTCTTGCAAACAGCATGTGCTACTCGTACGTTCGGGATGAATTTTTGAGTATGCTGCCACTGTTTGCAATAACCAACAAAATTCCGCTTTATGTGAAAGGGATGCCTTCGCTGTGGAAAACATAATAGAAGCGTGTGCTGTTGCAAGCCAGGGTCACCGTCTTAATCAATCAATAGGTTGTTTAACCATTTCACATCCCAAACCTCGTTTGACAACCTTGTCACAGGCAGAGCGGAAACAATTTCTGTTGAAGCTGCTGGCACAAGTCCGAGGCCCAGACCAGATTGGCCGTATGCAATTGAACTCAATGTCCAATTCCTTTTTGCAGCGTCTTTCTTGTATTTACGGTCCATGGTAATGCTGCAAGCTGCTTGCACTTTTGGGTTCCAAAGCAACACTGCTTTGGGGGAACTCGGGATACAAGCGATGAGATCCCAACCATCTCATGCACATTTCTTGGCCGGTGAAGACGAAATGCCCAGGTCTCCCGTGTGGATGCGGTATGGGGATCAGCCTTGAGAGAATCGGCCCAAGCCTGGCATGCTTGGCCAGTGGTGATTCTTGGAGTTCACTTGGGCGGTGCCCGGCGGTGCCTCAGTTTGCCCAATTAGCAGCTTTTTGAGTGTAGCAAAGAGTCATCCCGTTGGCAATCGAACTTCCCAGTGTCGGCAAAGCCTTTCTTTTATTGATCTTTGCCAGGCAGTGGACACATTGGCCAGAACTGGCCTTAGAGCAGCCTTGCGAAACATGTAGGAGAACATCGGAGTACAAAACTCCAGCTCCCGACTGTCAATGGAGTAATATGGAGCAATCGTAGTAACAATTAATCGTAGTGCATAGTAAGCGCAGTAAGTAGCAATCACGGCGAGTCTTGACTCTGGAGTCTGGAGGATTGTATAGGACCTTCCTTTCTGGACGCCTTGAAAGAATTGTGGGTTCAAAACTTACTACGATGTGGAGCTTCAACTACCATCAGCTCAAACTCATTTTCCATGTTAGCCTAGTAACTTAGTATCATGCAAAATAGCATCAGTGATCATCACTTCAGGGCGATCATTTTAGGAACAAGAAGCTACTTAGCAACAAAGGGCATTGCTACTAGGGGCGCTCCTGGCCTTACTACTAGTAACAAGGACGCTATTAGGAGCAAGGGCATCGCTGCTAGGAGCAAGGACGCCCGCTACTAGCTTTTTGTTCCTAGTAGTTCCTAGTAGCAAGAATGCTCCTAGTAGTAATGCCCTTTGTTACTAGTAGCGATGCCCTTTGCTCCTTAATAGCATCCTTGATCCTAGTAATACAATAGTACAAGGAAACTGAACTTGTAGATCACTGAGACCTCACGGAGAACTACACCTTCGCAGAGATGGACTTTGTCGTCCGGCGGGCCTTCCTGCGAAGTAGCAACGAAGAGGACGGATCCCCCACCGAAGAATCTGGAACTAGTAGTAAGGCACTTGTTACTACTAGTAAGGCACTTGTTCCTAGTAGCTTCTTGTTACTACTAGTAAGGCACCTGCTACTACTAGCGTGGCACTTGTTACTAGTAGCTTCCTACCCCCCGGGATCGGAGAAGACGCTACTAGTAACAAGTGCATCGCTTCTAGTAACAAGTGCCTTACTAGTAGTAACAAGAAGCTAGTAGAAACAAGTACCACGCTACTAGTAACAAGTGCCTTACTAGTAGTACTACGGATCCCATGGGATCGGAGAAGACGCTGACGGAAGAATCTGGGATCGCTCACCGATCGTTGCCTCGCTGGTTAGCCTCTATTTGACATGCGAGGCGACGTGAAATGGTGACAGGGTGTGAATTGTGCATCCACAAAAGGTCCACAAAAAGCACACTCCTTTCATGGAAAGATAAAGATGATAAGGATACTGCATGAAGACATGGGAGTTGATCTAGAGGTGCGTGCGTGTAAGGGGGTTTATGATGGTTGATGTGACCTTTTTAGATGCTGTCCATCTTCCGTCCGCGAAAGATCCGGCATCTGGCACAGCCCTGACAGTGCGTACAGCATTGTCCTTCCCAACTCAGAAACTGCATCACCCAGCAGCAAGGCAACGATCTGCAGCTCTGACAGATTGTGTAGATGTTTGCGCATGATGTGCATTTTTTTGGAAAATCACTAGTGAATTTCTGCGAAAGATCCGCAAAAGTTCCGCGAATCTGGGGTTAAAGTCAAGGTTCCAAACTCGAGCGCCCCCAACATTCCCGCTGCAAGTGACCCTAAAGTATCTGTAGCTCTCAACCTAGTGTGTCGTTCATGCTGCAAGATGCCAGTCAATATATATATATACTGTATATATATATATATTGCATGTTAACTAGACATGGTTTTAGGACCATGCTTTGCCATGAGGCCGCCAAAGATCCGCGAAAGAATTTTCATCCGCGATGAAGTGCCATTCCATGATCACATGGATCAACCACCAAATTATGTGCTGCGATGGGTGCTCTTGGGTGCTTCAGTTCTTTTCGATATCGGGGAGTCCGGGCACCAAACGAGCTTGCCGCATCGACCTCATCGACCGCATCGCCTTCAGGGAGGCCGAGATCCTGTCGCCCTGCACCATTTCGAGAAAATCTTGGCAGCCGGAAGCTCAACACGACGTGTCGCATGGTGTCGTGCCGCTGCCAGTTTTCCTGGCAGTTCCCCCTGAAAGTTCAGCACAAAACAGCACAAATTATGTAAGAACTTCCATGAACTTCCCATGGAGGTGACAAGCAAGTCCAAAAGTCATGTGTTTTCAAAGCGATAGTTTTTTTTGCTGCAGACCAGACTGTACTGTTTGTGTAGCCACGGCGTTGACAGATACGTTGAGATGCGGGTTGCAAAATCGTAGTTTTCGCAACTCGTTGAGATGCGGTACTGTGGGACTTGTGCCGAGAACTTTCAGAGTAGTGCATCCAGAAATCATCCTGGTGCCTATGCGGACACAAATTGCTGTAAACGGTTTCGCGGACATCAGTGGATCATTCAGCAGTCAATTGGTTTCACTTCATTTCTCTGCCCGTGGAACGGGGCTGATCACTTTCTACGGTCGCTCCACGTGGGATTTGCTCATGCCTTCATCGATAGTATCGATGGCGAAGCCCAAGGAGACGCCAGCTCAGAGTCTCAGAGCCTATGAGCAAGGCTTCTCTGGTCGAGACTTTGCCTGTGGCAACTGGTGACCAGGTGGTGTGTCCGAGCCTACCCCGATGCAATGAATCATAGAGACCACTTAAAAGCAGAAACATATTAAATAGATCTTAACATATTTTTGAGGATCCAAAGGGGAGGAACCAAACTTTCGGCGTTTGGACCTGGTCACAATGATGTTGGTTTTGAGCTGGAGATGGGTGTGTAAGACGTTTGAACCCTTGGGTGATTTGCTTTGTCAACATCGTGTCACACTGTGGGCATCCCTGCAGTTCTTGCTCCACAAAGCACAGTGAATGCACGCGAACACAGACTTTTTGCATTCATGTAACCTATTTGACCTGTCTGGATATATATTTTTGCTTGCCCGAGGAAGACCCGTGGCCTTCATGACTGACACAGCGAGTGTCAGCAGCTTCCTGAGTGGCCGTCTTGCGCTTCCTGTCGTGCGTGTCAGGATTCGCTTGATTCAGCCTGGGCGTGTTTGCCTTAGGGAACACAGCAAGACCAGGCCAGCAAAAATCAGAAAAGAGCTTCCCCTTTAAGTACTTGGCCCGTATGCCCATACCCAACTATAGGATCATGATTGTCTTCGACATGCAAGAGATTGCGCAGGGCGCGAAAACTGTGCCCTGTGCGCTGCCCAATGCATGCATCATCTTTCCTTTTACTTTCCTTTTACTCGCGACACGTGTGATGAGGCGAAGACCCAAAGAAAGAGAAGAAGTCAGCGCCGTCTCTTGAAACGATTATCACGATTCCTGAATGGTCTTGAACAGAAATTAACAGCGCATGCCCCTCAACTTGCTCTATTGGTGCACCCAGGAAAAAGAAGAAGGATGGCAAGGATCCGATGGAGAGCATTTTTGGATGGCCCGCACATTCAGTATGTACTTGATTCCATTTAGAGAAACGCTCTTTCGTTCACAGGTGACTTGTCCATTGACTCGCAGTGATGCAGGTGCAATTTCTGGCTTCCAGAAGCCTTTCATCTCCCTCCTGTGGCCTGATGCCTTAGTTGACCGGAATTGAGTGGATGGATCGCATTTGATCACATCAGTCAGAATGGATCCTGGACACTCACTCTGTCTTGGTCCATTTTTAAGTCTTCCCACTTGTATTCGCTGGCACCTTCCAGATCTGGGCGATGATCCTCTTCGGTCTTCTGGCACATTTGATGGCGAAGACCACGTGAGACTCCGGACATTCCGATCAGTGATCAGTGGCAAGATGTGGGTTTCACTTGTTTAAACATGTCCAGTTTATGTAGGGTTGGGATGTTCGGTTTAGGCGAAGCATAGCCCGGGTGTGTTACCTCCGATAAGAATACACTGAATACACGGGAACGTTAAAAAAAAGCACGCACAGGGGATAAGGGAGATCTGGGTACATTGTATGTTTATATGTTTTTAATCCTATGTATTGGGACTAATTGGGGAGGTGACCTTTTAACACTGCCTTTTGATCGTCCATCACGGAATCACAGCCTTTATCACATTGGCTCAAGAAAAACTGGGTAGCACCCCCAAGCCAGCATCATACGCTGCACCTTCTGGCGAGCGTGAGGAACAGAACTGAAAGCAGCAAGTATGCTCTTTATTTTGCAAGTATTTGCAAGTATATTCAGTGTAACATAGGCTGAGTTTAGCCCCAAGACTCTAGGATGTAGACTGAACTACCCTTACATCCCTCTATATAGTGTGGACGTTACAGTACCACCCCCTGGAGCTGACTACGACGACCCTCAGGTACCAGCCCTACAGTGGTCGTCGAAAACGTGGCCGGCACACCTCAGTCGGTCCGACTGGGACGGACCGCCTTCATCGACGTCTTTTCGCCTTTGGGAGACGTCCAACAGCCACGGGTTGGATGCGAAAGGACGCTTGTGCTGGATATGAACAGATGTGCTGGAGAGAAGGGCTGAATTTGACCAGGTCAAGCAGCATCTTGGAGCTTTTGGGTGCTTGAGTGCTTTGGGTAGTTTTACAGGCATGTACGGCACTAAACCATACTAAACCGATTCAATCCAATTTTAAGGTGTAAGACCCTTTGGTAGTCTTCTTGATCTTCTTGTTGAGAGTATCAGGTCCAGATGTTGTGCAGATACTTGGAGGGAGGTGACAGTTTATGACAATGTAAGACCGGAAAACAACTCTATTAAAAAGATTTAAAGATATTTATATAGTGCTGACTGGCGTTTTTCTTTTATGCTGGCGAGCGGGCAGATGTGGTTTTTGTGGCAAAAGTAGCGGAAGCACTGCGCTGCCACGAGCACCACGACCACCGCCACTACCAAACACAATAGAAAGCGGCCGCACCACACCACCACGACCACCACAGAACACATAAAAAGAAGGCCACCCCAGCATTAAAAACCACAGAACAGAGCCCCTAAGCCCCCAGCATCCACAACGAATGGACCGTTAGCATTAAAACCCTCTTCCCAAAAGAACACACCTCCGCCGAGGTGGAGAACGGAACCGCAATTCTCTCTTTAGCACCTCGTCACGGAACCGGGTGGAACGGCTTTGCGGCGAGATTTGCGGGAACCAGTGCATTGCTACTAGTAACTAAGAAGCTACTAGTGACAAGTGCATCGCGACTAGTAACAAGTGCATTACGACTAGTAGCAAATAGCTGCACGTAGCTTCTTGTTAATTACGTTCGTAGCGATGCACTTGTTACTATAGGTTCTAAGGATCCGCACCCATCGATAGTTGATGCCTTCACCGAACAATGTCTCCTTTTTTGAGCATCGCCCCACATCATGGAGCATCAAAGCGAAGGTTGCTTGAACTACGGGGGTCGCTGGGTTGCTTCTTGACGCATGGCCTAGCCGAAGTAGTGCACGAAGTGAGATCCTGGCCACACTCAGGCGAGCTGAATTCTGGCAATCCGACGGGGGCCCGGAAGGGTTAGATCAGATTGGGAAGTTCTCAGTCAAATATGAAAAGCAAAGAAATCGTCAAGACAACATTTGGATCGACATATCCATCTTCAAAGCAACAATGTGAGTTTCTACCCTGATACACACCCTTTGAAACGACCTGGGTCATGTCAACCAGTTGAGGTACGGCCTGGGTGAAGGGCTAGGTGATTGGCCCCTGGGAGGCACGAGGGGCCGAAGAATGAAACATTTCTTTACGGAAGAAGGATTCTACCACCTTGGTTGGTGTGTGAACTAACTAACAGGTTTTCATGTTTGATCATGTTGGACTTTCGTTCAACCATCATTCGAGGAAGACTCCTTCTCCTTTTGGTGGGTAAAATAGGGGTTCAGTGGTACATTGACATAGATCAAGCGAGCACCAGCGCCATGTGATTTTGCTCAAAAGAGGAGGTGTGGACACCATGCTATGTGGCTATATATGGCCATATGTCAGTCAAACATTTGGTGCTGGTTTGTGATTGCTCAATGGTCGCAATTTGACGGCGTATCATTCAAGCGGGCTGCAGGGAACAGCCCCTTTCCGGGCTTCCCAAACATGCCGGGCATGCCTGGGATGCCCGGCATGCCGGGGATGCCTGGGATGCCGGTGCCCGGCCGCGATCTGAGGGGGAGCTTGTTGACAACATTCATTGGCATAGGATTTATAAGGAACATCAAACTCAGAACCTTGAAAAGTGTCAACCCTGGGATCTTTTGCTAGCTTGCCATGTTCCATCTCCAATTCCCAGTGATGAAAAGGTGATTTGCTGTGAGATGACAACATGAAGCTTCATGCAGAATAGTCAATCTGCAGCTCTACTTGGCGCAGCTGCTTTGCTTCAGTCTGTCCTCAAGGGACAGCTGCCCCCCGCGTCATGGGAAATGACGCATCCACTGGGAGAAGTTCGAAAGGGCCGAGGCACCGAGCAGCTTGGGGACCGAGACGCTAGGGGTTTGCGCTACAGAATTCGAGGTCCGAAATCTGATCTACTCCGGGGGTTTGCACTCTGGGAACGACTCCAATAGCTGGACGCTCAATTGTGATTTGACCTCCTTCTGAAGATGAATTCCATGGCATCGCTCATTGCTGGAGCCAGGAGTGGCAAGCTCCTGGTCGCCGGATGGCAAAAGAGAAAACTACCGCCCGATCCTCAAAGGGAACTCAAAGCTTCTGAGAGAACTAGACGACGGTTGGCCCGAGAGCGAGACATGTAATTGTCCAGCACTGTCGAAAAGATGTATAGAAAGAGAGAAAGAGAGGGTGGATGTGAAGGAGTGACAGCGTGGATGTGCAGGTGCGATATAGATCTGTAGATGTATGGAGGTGGAGAGGTAGATCTGTGGATGTGAGCGTGCGAAGATGTAAATGCACAGAGACGAGAGAAAAGATATGTAGAAAGAAAGACAGGACAGATGTGAAGGAGCGACAGTGTGGATGTACAGATGTGATATAGATGTGCAGATGTGTGGGTGTGGTGAGGTGGAGAGGTAGATCTGCGGATGTGAGCGTGTGAAGATATAAATGTAGAGAGGTGAGGGGGCGTAGACGTAGATGCGTCGATGCAACGGCAGCGCAACGTCAACCTTAGTTGTGCAAGTACAACGCTGAAGAGGTTCAAATAGAACTGAAGAACGTACGTTTCACACTGAAGTTTCCACGAACAGGGCGACCTGAGAGTAAACGACGTCACGATCATGACAAGCGACTCGTGTATTCCAAGCGAACATCGTTTGTCATGAAGGTGAAGTACACACATACTAACGTCACGATGACTCTTGTGGCAGCCACTTATGAGTAAGCAAAGTAGCTAAAAGTTGTCAACCTCTCAAGAGAGCCGGGTGGTCGGGAGACATGACTCAGCTGCAGGGGCGCCAGAGCAGCCGCGAGAGATGACTCATCCGCGTACTCAAGTTGTACTACAAAGTCGCCAGTTCTCAGCTTCCAGCTCCACAGCTTGCTCCGCGTACTAAAGTTGTACTACAAAGTCGCCAGTTCTCATCTTCCAGCTCCCCAGGCACTCCGCGTACTAAAGTTGTACTAGAAAGTCGCCAGTTCTCATCTTCCAGCTCCCCAGATACTCCGCGTACTAAAGTTGTACTTCAAAGTCGCCAGTTCTCAGCTTCCAGCTCCACAGATTGCTCCGCGTACCAAAGTTGTACTAGAAAGTCGCCAGTTCTCTTCTTCCAGCTCCCCAGATACTCCGCGCACTAAAGTTGTACTACAAAGTCGCCAGTTCTCAGCTTCCAGCTCCACAGATTGCTCCGCGTACTAAAGTTGTACTAGAAAGTCGCCAGTTCTCATCTTCCAGCTCCCCAGATACTATGCGTACTCAAGTTGTACTACAAAGTCGCCAGTTCTCAGCTTCCAGCTCCACAGATTGCTCCGCGTACTAAAGTTGTACTACAAAGTCGCCAGTTCTCATCTTCCAGCTCCC